AAAACATGGGTTTAAAAAGGTTAGGTAACCTGTTGATAATCACAGAGATGGAAAGTAATGGGGCCACAATCTGAATCGAAAATCAAGACAGAGCTAGATTCAATTCTTAGTACCTTTGTGACCTTGAACAAGTTACTTCCTTTCTGGGTTTCAGATTTCCCTTCTGTAAAATTAGGAGATTGAAAAGTCCTCCAAGAACTCTTTTAGATTTCCTACCTACAAATCTAGTGCTCTTTCCCCTTATACTATAATGTTTCTATATAACAACAATTATAGATTATGGATCTATAGCAGGTGGAAGACACATTTTAAGTAATCTGATCCTACATCAACTTGATTTGGCAAAATAAACAAGTAGATTAAATATAAAGGATCCAACTCCGGGGAGGTTCATAAAATTATCTGTTTAAGCTATGAACTTCAGTTCTGAGCTCAAGTGCTCTCGTGTGATTTATATACTCAACTGAGATTCCCAAGAAAATTTCTAATTTATTTCTCAGGCCCATGGCTTTTAACTGACACAGATGAACCACTTTTTCTACCTGGCTATAAGTAAGTAGAATGTGATTCCAAAATTCCAAATCATTGCAGAGTAATAAAAAGGCTTTCTTTCTCATCCCCCTTCTCCCTCACCTTTCAGATGATAAATGATACTGGGACAGTAAGGCAGTATGGTAGTCCTTTTACTTAATTTTTGCTCAGAATTCTCATGGACAGTGGAGGGGGGAAAAAAATCAGACCACCTTATCTTCAAAGCTCCTGATGTTATATTTTCTCTCAACAATGAACTTTATCATCCTCAAAAAAGTTATATAGTGTTAAAAACAAGTTGAAATTTTCTCACACTTCTTTTTCTCTTATGCACTTACCTTATTTTGTCTCCATCATAAGTTATTATGTACACATCTTAATCTTCCACACTAGAAAGTTAGCTCTCTTTTCTCCCCAGATTCTAGCACAGTGCTATGTAGCACCTGTTCCATAAATGCTTGCTGAATTGAATTTTCTTATTTCTCTTCCTATAGTCTCCCAAACATATCACCTGACACTGTTTAACAGCCTCTCAGCATATGATTCATGTTGTCTTGTCAGAAGAATTCACTCTATCAATGAAAAATAAACTAGAATTGTTTGATTCAATAGTGTGACGACATAGCCAAAAAAGCTAATTCAACTTAGGTTCCATAAAAGTGCAGAAATGAGACAATAGTCCTACTCTGTACTCTTTCCTTATCAGATAGGTCATATCTGGAATATTCAGTTCTAGGCACCATATTTTTAAGGAAGTGACAAACAGTATCACCAGGTTAATGAAAGGACTAGAAACTATACGATGCAAGAAGGCCAGTGAAATATTCCATTACATTCAGGTACCATAACTAATTGAGTCATTATGAAATGGATGGGCATCTGCTTTCTTTCTAGTTTTTCTGCTATTACAAAAAGTACTTCTATAACCATTTTTATCACAGACCTCCTTTAAGGCAAGACATATGCTTACCAGTGGGATTGCTGGGTCAAAGGGTATGACTTATTAGTGACTTTCTTAGAATAACTCCAAATTTCTTCCTGTAATTGTTAGAACAATCCATAGTTTCACCAATACTGCCTGAATCTTTTCAAAATCTCTACAACATTTACTTACTCTGGCATCTTCTTCACCTTTACCAACTTGGTATTATTTGTATCTGGAGCATTCTTTATTATAGTTAACAGTTTTCAATTCTTTTGAGACCTTTTTCTTTATAATCTACTAGGGAAGATCTTTATCAAAGATAAAGTTGTGGCACTTGAGTGTAATAAAATATTACTGTACCACAAGAAATGACAAATATGAATAGATACAGAGAAACAAAGGAAGACTCATAGGAATGGATGTGAAGTAAGCAGAACTAAGAAAATAAGTAGGACAACTGTAAATGGAATTAAATGGCTGTAAAGAGAAACAACAACTGAAACTGAATGTCATGAAATTATAATGACCAAATGTGACCCCAACAAAAAGATATGAGAAGGCAACTAACTCCTCTCTTTCTTTGCAGAGCTGGGTGAACATGGGCATGTAACACAGCACATATCAGACAACTTCTAGTTTTGCAAAGCCAATTTTTTATCCTTTTTATTTTGTTATATTTGTGATTCTCTGGGAGGGATAGAAAAGGAACATATTGAGAAATGTATATAATTTTTTTAAAAGCTATCCATAGACTTATGATGAAAGATGCTGTACATCTCAAGAGAAAGAAGTGGCAGAGACTGAATATAGATCAAAAATACTTTTTCTTTATTTTTCAGGGGGTTTTTTTAGTTTGTTTTCTTTCTGGAAATATGTTTTGCATCACTACACAAGTATAATCCATGTCAAACTACTACTACTTGCCTTGGGCGGGGGGGGGAAGGATGGAAAGATACTGGAACTCAAAATTTGAAAAAAAAAAGTTAAAATTGTTCTTATATATAATTGGGAGAAAATAAAACATTAAATAATATTTTTAGGAGCTATCTGTAAAAATTTATTTAAAAATTACAAAGTTTGAAGGAAACAGGCATGAGACTGCATGGACAAAATAGTTATTCTAAAGGATCTGAAATGCTGACAAAGAATTGGTCTACTTTACTCCACTGGGCAAAACTAGGAATAATGGCTCAAAATTGTAGAAGAGTCAGATTTGGGATCAATATAAAGAAAACGTTTCTTAAAATCAGAGCTTTTCAAAATAATGAGATGAGCTTGTTGTATCAAAAATTTCAGAAATAAACTTTCCCATTACCAGAAGACTTCAATGACAGCCAGATGATCATTTCAACCAGGTTCCTGTGAAATGGATTCATGTTCAGGGCAAGTCAAGACTAGATCACGGCTTCTTAACGTTTTTCCTCCTGCAATCTCTTTTTGCATTTCATCAGTGTTTGCTGCAGTTGCATGGCATAATGTCATGCACAGTGCGAAATGCACATGCTCTGTGTTCAGAACCATGGCTGCAGTGAAGCTGCATGATGCAACAAGGGCAAGTGCTGCCAGAAATATTTCAGATTCATTACACTTTTGATTTTTAATTAATTTTTGGTCACTGCATGTTCAGAAACCTTTCACTGTTGCTAAATTTTTCACAAACCCCATATGGGGTTGCGCACCACAACAGTTTAAGAAGCACTGGACTAGATAACGAACTGGGGAGGTCTCTTCCAACTAAGACCCTATGGCAGGATCTAAACCTCTTTAGGAATATGTAAATGGGAATGGATTATTTCACTCTTCTCACCCTTCTCCCTACCACCCAGGGCCACACTGATACTGTAAGTGCCAAAAGAAATATACTTTAGTTTATTTAGTAGAAGTACTCCTTAAAGTGTCTAAGCAGATAGCTATTAACTCCTAATTTACTTATTACTTGAAGTTGACATCAAATCTAAAGGCTTCAAAAGTAAAAGCACCAAGAGTTCTTTTTTCAGTTAGTGTTAACGGAACAAACATATAGCACAACTTAACAATTTCTATTTTATTACAAACACAGAGTATTAATTCTGCAACTGTAATGAGAAGCCTACCTTCAATGCACTACCTTTCACAGAATATATTCTAACTAAAGAACGCCATTATTATAAACATTTAATGAATGCCAACCATGTTCACAGCTTGGTATAGCAAATAAAAGATATAGATTTGCAGTCACAAAGATCCTGGGTTCAAGTACTTCTCCCTACACATACTAGTCTCTATGATCATTAGCAAGCTACTTGCCCTCTCAGTGTGTCCCAGGTGACTCTTGAAGAGTATAAGTTAAACATGAATTGTTCATGATCGGCAATTGTAAAGAATTTCTACATTGGAAATTCTCTATACTAATTAAGTCATTAGTTAAACTTGGACCAAAAGGGGGTAGGAAGTGTGGTGCAGGGAGCAGAGATGTCTGAAACTATGGGATATATGTTGACAACAAATCTTCCATCTCAAAAATGCAATATGAATAGGAAAAAAATACAGAAAAAACTACTTTAAAGTGAGAAGAGCAATAAGAAGGAAGAGAATTGAGTATATTTAACTACTTTAGTTCCCCATGCAGTATAAAAAAAGCCAAAAAACACAAATTACATTATTTCCTATTTTCTCAAAAAGAGTTTATATTTGAATTAAGATAAATAAAGTATATGTATGTGTGTATTTCTTGAATGATCATGGCCATATGACACTATTGAAAAGTGCAGAACAATGCTGAATAAACAACCAAAGCATTAGAAAATCAAGCAAATTCTACTATACATATTATTACCTATTTAGTCTCAGACGCATTTTTATTCCTCTTGAACATGAGGAAGTGATTTTTCTGGCTGTGTGAAATAAGGAGAATATCACACCTCAAGAGAAAGTTTAAGAGGGTTTAAAAGGCATTTTGTGAAAAGGGAAAAAGGATAAAACTTTTCAACATTTTCCCTTATGACTGTTATTCCTAATTCTTCATCTGTGCAAACGCCACGTTCTATCTTCTGGAAAATGCCCATCTCTTCCAAGAAACAGAACAAAACAAAGATTATATAATAAGCTAAAGGTAAAAAATAAATTCAAAAATATTTAAAGAGATGTTTACTCAAGGCGTTCCATTATATAAGTCTTAAGGGGGAAAATCCTAACATAGTAGATAAACATGGTACAAACATACAAAGTCCAAAGAAAACACCAACTGAGGAATATACATAGCTTGAAAAATTAAATCCAGTATGTGAAAGCAGAAAATTTTAACTAAAAAAGCAATCATAAGTACTATGAATTAGCTCAATCTTTACTATACTGTGGGACCGAAAAAGAAGGATATACAGCAACAACACAATCACCAGTCCATTCTGATACTTCACAACTGATGAAGGAAACATGCTTCTTTCACAAAGGACTGGCTATGGCACAATGTTATAAAGGTTGACCCAAGACCTGCAACTGGTACATAGTACACGTCCTTTCATCTCTGTCGTTGGAAAGATGAAAAGAACAAACTTAGTCACAATACCTCTGGGTGGCAGATCCATATCTCCTGAAGTAAGTCCTATCAAATTAGGCCTTTGGGCATGCACTCTGTGTCTATACATAGGTCTGGAAGTGTTTGTTATGCTTGGGGCTTCAGGATTATAGCCATCTGTGTCATATGTATCTGGTAATACAAAAACTGTAATTAAACAACAATTATAAAACTCCACTTTGAAATATTTTGTCATACAGTTAACATAAAATACTGACACTATATATTACAATGTTACTAAAAAGATCTCAAAAACAATTCACTTACATCACTAGTATCAAAAATATAATCATAATAAAACCACTTATATAACACTTTAAGATTTACAAATATCTCAGTTTACTCTCACAACAATGCTAAGAAGTAGGTATTATCATTCCCATTTTACAGATGAGGAAACTGAGGCAGGCAAAGAGGTTAAGTGACTTACCTAGGATCACATAGCTATTAAATGCATCAGGCCAAATTTGAACTCAGGTCTTCCTGAGTTCCAAGTCCACCATTCTATCCTCTGTTCCACTTAGCACACTGTGGGTGCATGTGTGTGTGTGTATGTGTCTCTATACATACAAATATCCCAAAGAGTTTATAGAACTGACAATTTTTATACTGTACTGTGAAATTTTACCAAGAAAAATATTCCAGCTCTAAATGCAAATAGTACAAAACATGGATGATCACAACTCTACTAACTCATCAGCTTAGTCACCTTGGCCAGATCCCTTAACCTCTCTGGGGCTTAGGTTCCTTACTGTTAATAAAAAGACTGAACCAGACATTCCCTCTAGCTGTAAAACCAGTACATTTTATGACATGAACTGCCACCTCGGGAAAATCACTTTGACTTTTCAAATGTGGATTAAATGATAACTAAGTTTTTTCAGTTCTAAAATTCTATGACTCTCTGAATTGATAATCTTAAAAAGTCCATACTGCACCTGCTGTAAAGAGAGAGGGTGGTGCTGGCGGAGGCTGGTGATGAATACCCGTTGTTACTACAGTGGGAACAGAACTGGTTGCAGAGTTCGGAGGAGCATCCATACCAGATGGTTGCAAAGGAGGAAGTGGAGGTGGTGGTCCTGTAAAAATCAACAATAAGACATATCAACTGAAAGTAGGTAAACTAAATATTGTAGGCTAATCAGAATGTTCCCTTTAGTCAGGTCATGTTCTGGTATGACCTGTGATATTACAACTAAGGTGAAACCATACTTTTACATATGGCAAAGATGGGTTCTTTGCCAAGGAAGAAGTGCATCTTATTAGGAGTAAGAATATATTTGCCTAGATAATTCTAGACTTCATCACAAAGGCTTTAAATTGAGAAGAGGAGGAAAAAAAAAAGAAAACTGGCCACATACAATTAAGCCAAACCAGATACCAGCCATTAACAGATTTGACAAAGAACAGTTAGTAGAATTGTCAATTCCAAAGAAACAATATCCAAAAAGAGGAATAATAACTCAAACCAGGGTCTCAGATGTAAATAAAACAATTCACAACACATGGCTAAGAAATAAAATGAACCAGAGTAACAGAAGTTGAGATTTTAAAGTAATACAGTATGCTCATAAGTTATCAGAGAGACTTGATGGGCTCAAGACAACAGACATTTACATTGTAGTCTTGCCAAAAGTTTGTCACAGATCATCTCACTTGAGTCTAATAATCTTAAGAGTCAGGCACTGAGATGGATGCAACAGCTAATTAGAACCAGACAACAGATAGAAGTAATCAATTTAAAAATATACAATGTATCAGGCACTGCTCTAAACAATGAGAACACAATGCAACAGCAAAATAATATCTGCCTGTTAGAGCTTACATTCTGTCAGAGGAAACAACATAGATACAAATATATACAAAATGAATACAACGTAAATGGGAGGAAAAGGGGAGACTAGCAACCAAAGGGGAGTGGGGAGAGGAAATCAGGAAGGCTTCACATGGGTGTCACTTGGATTTTGGGTTTTGAAAGAAACAACAGACTCTAAGAGTCACAGATAAAATAGAAGTGCATCCTAGACATGAGGAACAGATGGTGTAAAAAGCTGCCACCAGCTGACGCTACAGGGGTGGGGAACTTGCAGCCTCCAGGTCACAAGTGGCCCTCTACAACCTCAAGTGCAGTCCTTTGAATGAATCCAAACTTCACAGAACAAATCCCCTTAATAAAAGTATTTGTTCTGTAAAACTTGGACTCAGGCAAAAGGTTGCACTTGAGGACTTAGAAGGCCACAGGTTCCCCACCCCTGTAGCTAATCTGTAGCTCTCTAGCTTCTGTTTAGCAGACATTTTAAGTCAGTATAAATAACATGGGATGTCATGCCAAAGAAACAATAAAAAGGTCATTCTGGCTACACTGTAAAGTTTAATAAGCAGTATTAATATATAAATAAAGTTGGAAAGGTAGGCTGCAGCCAGAATGTAAAGGACTTTAAAACAGAGAAACTTATATTTGATCATAGAAGCAATAGGAAGCCACTGAAGTTTACTGAGCAGAGTGATATGGTTAGACCTGCACTTTAGGAAAATCACTCTGACAACTTTGTGGAGGATAGACAGGAGAGAGAATAGAAAGATTTGAGGCGGGAAGACCAAGTGCCACTAACTAGTCAAGAAGTGAGGTGATGAGGGCTGCCTGAATAAATGAAAAAGAATATAAATGCTTATAATACACTGTACTAAGCAATGGAGATACAAATAGAAAAACAATACAGTCACTCTTATCAAGAGACTTACATTCTAATAAGGGAGAGATGACATATAATAATAGGAGGTTTCAACTTTAAGTTAGATGTAAAGGTCATATTCTTTAATGCCTTTTCAATGGATAAAAACAAAATGCATTTCTAATGGTGAATCATTTGATTCTGCACCAAGGGGTTTAGAAGCAAGACCTTTCTTTTCAAGGTGTCTAGCAGTTGTGGCTGTTCAGGAGACAGGGGCTTCAACTACTGCTGAAATAGTTAGTTTATATCTCCACAAGGGTCAATTCCTGGGATCATGGCTGCAGGATGAAGGCTGCAGCCAGGCAAAGTAGACTGCAGTTGATGCTGGTGGTGGAAAGGACAGCAGACCCCACTTCCACCAAGTTATTCCTTTCAATGACAAGTTCAGAGTCCTGGGCTATCTCTGCTAGGTTTTAAAGGGAAGTGGTGGTAGACATGATGGCAGCGGTGTGAATTGCCTGGCACATGTTGTACCTCTGTACTCAATCCTCTGCTACTTCAACTAGGCTGACATGCCTGCCCTATCACTGGTAGTTGGAACTGATGGTAGTGGGGATAGTAGGCCCCTTTTCAACAGATATTACCACTGATGATGCTAGGCGTCAAGGTGGGAGATGGGCTGGTAATCTGGGAGGCACTGCTATTTCCTGACATTCTTGGGCCTAAGCTATTCACTGATAATAGTTGGTAGGTAGCTAAAGGCGATAGCAGTAGTCTTTCTGTCTACAAGTGTTACTTCTTTTCAAAGCTGGCTACAGGGACCTAGCTAGAAGCAGAATCACTGATATGGGGGCATGGCTATTTCTAGGGCTGTTGGGCTCAGGTCCTTGTGTGTCTCTACCACCATATAGAGGGAGGATGTTACAGTGGAGGTAGTGAGGATGGGAGTGCTCCTATCTGCTGTCTCTTGTCTCCCAGGTTGAAAACTACATGTAAAGTGAGGGAAAGTGAGGAATTGAGGATAAAAACCCAAGTTGTGAACCTGGATGACTAAAGATTGTGGTGCCTTCAAGAGAAATGAGGGACTTTGGAAAAAGGATAGATTTCAGAGAAAAGATAATATGCTAAATCTAGGACATGCTGAATTGTCTATGCCTAAGAACACAGAGATCACAAAAAAAGTGGCAATAGAATTAACATTACCTATCAAGAAGATGTACAACTTTTTGGAAATCTATAAATATAAAGAAAGTATGACTGAATAGAGGTAGATAAGGAACAATGAAAGAAAAATATAGAATATATATTGTGCAGGGAGGCTCTTGTAAGTAACAGCCAAAAAGGTGAAAAGGACAATGCATTCTGGAGACAGATAACCAATGAGTTTTCTCATTAACTGACAAAATTGGAGATCTAGTTCTGTTAAAATACAAGCTCACATTTCCATTGTGAAATCAAGATGGAGAGAAATTAAATTACTTGCCCAGGGGGCAGCTAGGTGGAGCAGTGGATAGAGCACCGACCCTGAAGTCAGGAGGACCTGAGTTCAAATCCGACCTCAGACACATAACACTTACTAGCTGTGTGACCCTGGGCAAGTCACTTTACCCCACCCAATGCCTAGCTAACAAATAAACAAATAAATGAATAAATGAATGAATGAATGAGTGAATACAGAAAGAACTTTATTTAAAAATGCAAAAAGAACAAAAAGGAACTTTAAGAAAAAAAGTATAAAAGAACTACAGTGTCAGCCAATAAGCATTAACAAATTCCTACTATGTGCCAGGCACCATCCTAAGTGCTGGGAATACAATGAAAGGCAAAAGACAGTCCTTCCTCTCAAGGAGCTCTGTCTAATGAAACAATGACAGAATAACTGAATGGACAAAGAATTCGGATGGAGGCATGCCTAGAGGGAATGCCTAAAAAAGTTCTATTAGCTAAAAATTAATTGAAATGCAAATAGTTCCTAAGTTTATTTGTTTTGATATTTGGTATTAAGATCATAATTTGTTTTTCAAAAGATCTGAACACAACCCACATGTACAAAAATATTCACAGCAGCTCTTTTTGTGGTGGCAAAGAATTGGAAACTGAGAGGATGCCCATCAATTGGGGAATGGCTGAGCAAGTTGTGGTATATGAATGTAATGGAATACTACTGTGCTATAAGAAATGATGAACAGGCTAACTTTAGAAAAACCTGGAAAGACTTGTATGGTCTGATGCTGAGTGAAGTGAGCAGAACCAAGAGAGCGTTGTACACAATAACAGCCACGTTGTGTGATGACTAATGCTGATAAACTTAACCCTTCCCAGCAACATATGGATCTGAGACATCTCCAAAGGCCTTATGATGGAAAATGCTATCCACATCCAAAGAAAAAACTATGGAATTTGAATGCAGATTGAAGCATACTATTTGCTATTTTTTTTCCTTTTCTGTTGAGCTTTGTTTCCTCTTTCTGGTGGTTCCTCCTATTGGTTCTAATTTTTACTTACAACATCACTAATCTGAAAATGTTTAATAAGAATGTACATATGTATGTATATATAGCCTATATCAGATTGTGTGCCTTCTCGGGGAGGGTGGTGGTGAGGAAGGTGGAGAAAAATTTTAAACTCAAAAGCATATGGAAATGATTGTTGATAAATCAAAATAAATTAATAAAAAAAAAGATCTGAACAGAAAAGGAAAGCAAAAGTAGGTAACTAAAGAGACTACAAAAGCATAACATGGTAAGGAAAGCTAAATTCCATTATGACCAAGAGGCTTTCCAGAATGATAAGAATAGAAAAACCGCTAAGAAGGAATATCATGTAAAGCAAAAGGCAACTGACTGATGTAAATTAGTTGGACATTAAAAGACCACATTAAGAAAGAAAAAATACTTATATTTTTCTTCTGTTTTCTCTACCAAAAGAGAAAAATCTTTAAATTGAGAAATAAAGAAAAAAAAACTTAATAAAAAACAGAACCTTGAAAAACATGTATAGAGAATGAGAGTATCTGTATCTAGTAACTTCAAATGAATACAAATCACTAGGCCAGACAAACTACAACTCAGAGTTGTAAAACAGTTTGCATGTGGTACATAGTAGGTATTTAATAAATGCCAGCAGACTTGACTCAATGATTTTGGTAACTTATATGGAAGTGAGGTAATGTACTAAAGAACAAGTCACCTGATTTTCAAAAGAAGGACGATTTTTTAAAACTACAATCCAATGAACTTTTTATTACTGTCAAAATTCTAGAATGTGATATTAAAAGTATTGAGTCAATATAACAAAAATGATAATTTTACCTACTTTAAATTATTATTCAATACCATACCAAACTACTAAAAATTTATTCTATATAGCTAGGAAAAATAATAGCAGAATGTATCAAGGGAATCAAT